CGTGTGTGTGAACCGCCCCGTCCCCTGGCAGGGAGTCCTTTCCCCCTTTTTAAACTTCCCTGGCACTGACTCACGCTCACCACACGTCCCCTCTGTCTGCACCACAGTCCGTCTGTTTCTCTTATGTATCATTTCACCTTTTCTGAGGCAGAATTTAAATCCCGAGAAGAGGCTCCTCCCTTCACCAAAGGAAAGGCGCCCTCTCCGTGGCTCACACTGGTCCCACCTGGACTCGGGCGCACAGCCAGTCTCTCCAGAGCCTTGCTCAGCCCGTCTGCCTCGAGGCCACGCGGCCCGAGGGAGGTTTTGTGTCTGAACTTCTGCGCCTGGGCTGTTAGTAAAAGCTTGCGGAACGAATGGTTGGATGGATAAGTGAATGAAAACAATGCCTAAAATGTTTCTCTAAGCATTTTTTCTTGGAATTTATTATGAAAAGATTAGGCTCTGATACAGAATAATATATAATATTAACTACTGACTTAATAGGCTCAGAACACTCCCTATTAGATGTGAAGGTGTGTAAATGTATAGTTCAAGTGGGTCCTTTGGCTCTCTCTCCTCCAATTAGTTAAACTGGTATGCAATTAAAAATATATATAAAACTATGTATACACTTAAATTATACGTAGCTATATATAATTGAAATATATAAATATATAATATTTAATTCTATTTATATTTTAAATGTATATATTAAATTATTATATTTAAACATATAATTTAAATGTGTATTATATTTTCCATAATTTAAATATATATAGTTTTACATATTTATACCTATATAATTTAATTCTATATAGCTACACACAAAGTTAACATGTAGAATTGAAACCCTAAATGAACAATTGTGCCTTGCCAAACCCAAGTTAGGGGCATGCCTGGGCCCTTCTTTCTCTCTCTCGTGCTTCTCAGTTTGAAGCCCAGTGGGGCAGTGGGCGGAGTTGTTTTATCCTGGCTGATCGAGCAGTGTGTTTTGGGGCTGCTCGTTACCTGCTCCCCAGTGGGACTGTTCTGCAGCTATTGAATTATTCACCGCCCCAAACACGATCATCCGAGGCAGATAAACAGACGGCCGCCCCAGGAAGCAGGGGGCTCAGAACATCTGCCGAGCCAGCGAGCCAGCCGCTGCCTGCGAGCCGCTCCCTGCCAGGGGCCCCGGCCCAGCGGCCAGGCAGGCGCTCCGCCTCCCCCAGGACCAGGACGGGAGCTCACGCGATGACGTTGAAGGCATCCTTGTTGGACAGCTGCTCCTCCAGCAGGAGCCGCAGGGAGTGCTGGATATGAATAATGTACGTGGAACTGGCCGCGGAGAGGTCCAGCAGCACCACCAGCCTGCACAGAAACACAAGCTCAGGAGAACCGAATCTCTCGGATAGTGTTCTTTTTGTTCCGTTTTACTCTTTAACGTGTTTTCCGGGGAACTTCACATGCCAGATGCACAGCTGGCCAAGTTTTCTCTGGGTTGAGGTCAACAGAGGTGGGTTTCCAGCAGGTTTGGGTGCTG